GCTGGTGGGACCTTCCTTCATTCTGAGCCACCCCCTGGTGGTCAGTGCACATCATAGCGAGGAGTTGAACTCCTGATTGGTCAAACTCCTGAGGGGACAATTTGCATATTAGCCTTTTATTATATAGGATAGTCTAGAATTGGCTCATAACTGTGAAGAGTGGAAGAGATCTAGGGAATAAAAAAGGGGGAACTTTCAAATTTATACACAGAAAGTGATGGGAATAAGAGAAAATTCTCACATAAATCTAAAATTGCAGGCAAAATTTGCTTATTTTATCTGTCTTTGGAATGTGTTTTAGACTTTATATATAATATATGGTTTTCTGAAATGCCCACTGCTTCAAGTAAAAATAATGAAATGCCTCTATGGAAAAATAAGTAAGGTGAACCTGGAAAATGGCTTCACAAAATGGAGTGGTATTTTCTGTCTGAGCCTTCTTGTTCTAAACTTTTCAAAAAAGAAGAGGATTTACTTTAAATAAAGCAAATGACCACACCCATTTGAAGAAGGTCTCTTCAGTGATTTATGGAATTGACTTCTAATATCCCCTTACAATTCTAGTTTTGCAGAATCCTGCTATAGAAAAAATGGAGCTGTTCGGTGTATTTGTAAAGAAAACTATGCTGGACCTAACTGTGAAAGGTAAGCTAATAAAATGTACCATTTTCTGTGTGGATCAAAGGAAGCTTTCTGTTGCTTGTATTCATCAGCTCTGCCTTACTCCCCTTCAACAGATGCTGAAGTGGATGATTGAGAGGAAGGAATAGGAGATAGCATTTCATAACCCCATGCCCCAGACACAGATATAACAATATGCTCCCTAGGGGCCCAGGCCAGAGCCACATCAGGATAAATGGACATGGAAAGAAAAAAAATGAGTATGTGTATTTTAAAAAGATTCTCTGGATGGTTTTGGTAACACTCCCCTCTCTCTCTATCATTGAGAACCAGTAATATAATTAATGGAGAGTGAGGCTGCCTTGTTAAATAAAAAATAAATCATATCCTCTATTAGAGCAATAAGTTTAAAATACATTGCAATGCACTGAAATAAAATTGAAAGTCAAAATTAAATCCTCTATGAAAGCAATCCATTGAAATACACTGAAAAAAGCATGAATCTATTATTTAACTCAGTCTTTACACCATTTCCTCCCCTGGAAAAAAAAAATTCATAAGAGTGCATTTTCTGAATCCCCGTTTGGTATCTACACCTAACTTTCTTTTTTTGAGTTGCTCTGAGCTCTGCTCAATCAAGAAAGGCCTTGGGGACTAAAGATGCGAGGCTTCCCATTGAATGATTTCTTGGCAAGACATTTCCCATTCTCCCCACCTGTCAACTGCTCACAGATTTCTATGATAAAATGGTTTCACCAAAAAAAACTCACATAGAGGCCTTATAATTTTCAACAGAAATTCATTAACAATGGTCTCATCATTGTGTTTAGACAGCAAAATGTTAGGTGGTGTCATAAAGACAGAGAGGGAAGGGCAGGAGGGACCAGTCCAACATCTAGTCCAACATCTGCAGTGTACTCACCTCCACACATCACACTCCCGACCATCCTGAATGTGACTTAGCCTTGGGATCAAAACATAAACCTTAAATGATAAGCCAACTCACTTCCAAAGAAAACACCCTCCATCTCTCAAAATGTAGTTCTGCAACTCTTTTTAAAAAGCCACAATGTTGCCCTGACCGGTTTGGCTCAGTGGATAGAGCGTCAGCCTGCGGACTGACGGGTCCCGGGTTCGATTCCGGTCAAGGGCATGTGCCTGGGTTGTGGGCGCATCCCTAGTGGGGGGTATGCAGGAGGCAGCTGATCGATGTTTCTCTCTCATCGATGTTTCTAGCTCTCTGTCCCTCTCCCTTCCTCTCTATGGAAAATCGATAAAATATTTTTTTTAAAAAAAGCCACAATGTCTATGGTACAGAGAAAATATCTATACTCAGAGGTCATTGTTATTATGATTATTAAATATGCAAAATGTGGATAATTCTTTCTCTAAAGGGTCGTGGGATTGTTCCCTTTTTTAAGAAATTAATCCTCACCCGAGGATATTTTTCCATTGATTTTTAGGGAGAGTGGAAGAGTGAGGGAAAGACAGAGAGAAATATCGATGTGAGAGAAACACACAACACACATCAATTGGTTGCCTCCTGCATGAGCCCTGACCAAGAGGAGCCTGTAACCAAAGTATGTGCCCTTGACCAGAATCGAACCCGGGACCCTTTGGTCTACAGGCCGATGCTCTATCCACTGAGCCAAACCGGCTAGGGCAGATTTTTCCTTTTTTTGCTATAAAGGAAGAGGGAAAGTAAAAGCTGAGGGCCATGTGAGTTTCATCTTTCAGAGATGATCAGATTACCTTTGGTTGATTAATGTTGGCGACACACTCATTCTATTATTTCCTTACTGAGGGACCCAGGAATATGAGGCACTTGATTTATTCTTTTTTTTTTCTCAGTGGGGGTCTGAGAGGATTGTTAATCATCCAGGGGTGGAGTTTTTTTCTCACCAGTGTTTGAGGTTAAACTCAATTTAGTCTGATAAGGATTGAGCTGTATTCCCAGATAATGAGTGTTCCATGGCTCCTGTGGGGGGGAACTAATGGCCTTAAATAGGTCCCTGCTAACCTAATGCAAGGCCTCCCAGAAGTGAAGTAATCTCAGCCCTAAGAGCTCATTTCTGCAAAATCGCACAGGGTGCAGCTAAAGGTTCTGTCTGCAGCAGTGGGGGTCCTGGCACAGAATAGCATGCCCACCTGAGATGTGGGATTGTGGGTGATAAAACCCTGGCCCACAGCAGAGGCTCCTAGGATCTCCTGCCATTACCCCATAAGGCTGGATCAGATTGGGTGCTTATGATGGACCTGGATTGATAGGATGGAGGAGAGAGCACTCGTTTGGAAAATGGAAGTAGAGAGCCTGGCTGAGTTTGAATCTCAACTCTAGCCCTTTGTGATCCTCCTGGGAAAGTTATTTTTGACCTCTAAGTTATTTCCACATCTCCAGAATGGAGAAAATGAAAATACCCACTTTATGAGACTGTTGTGAGGTGATGCTGCCAAGTTTTTAGTATGACACCAGGTACTTAATACAGGCGCAATAAAAACTAACTGGTGACAGTAGGAGTCACTGTGGTCATTGTCCAGTTTCCACCACTGGCATAATGTGTGTCTGGGACATGGTGGCTCATTTCCCCGACTCTCAGTTTCCTTAACAGAAATTCTGGCTTTGAAGTAAGTAGTGTCCTTCATTGATTGTCTCCTGTGTCTCATAGCTTTACATCCTCATCTCTCAGCCTCATGACCATCCTGAGAGGAGCCTATAAAAATCTGTAGTGTTGAAGGTTGGACTGTGACTTCAGAGTTGCCGCCAAATCTATCACCAAAAGATGTTCTTGAGACTCAAAGTAACTTAAAGTAGGTTTCCACTGTGATTGAGATTCTGACTTACAGAATAGAGAATTTGTTTTTTTTCTCTTATGGAAGACCAGGGGACAAGCTATGAAGATCAAATACAGTGAAATTAAACAGAGAAATGAAAGTACTAGTAACTGGCATCTGACTTATGCGAGCTTGGGCAAGTCCCTTCACTCCTGGACCTCAGGATTCCCAGCTGCACATTAAGGGGGTAGATCTGAGTTCCATTTCAATGAGTCTAGTATTCTGTTTAGTGAACTGCAGCAAAGGTTAGAAATTCAATCCAGCCATGTATTCCGTAGAGGAATGATTTATGCTGTCTTGGGGACCAGAGGCCCAGTAAATTAGAGGTGCAAAGACATGAATGAATATGAGTAACAAAATTCATTAAACATTTTCTCTTGGGGATATCTCTTTATAGATTGTGTGACACTTTAATTCATTCTTATCTTTATATAGACCTCAATTTCTAGAATTTAGATATTATGTATGATTGTGCTTCATTTGTTTCCTGTTCTTTCAGAATGGGCTGTGTATTTTTCCTCTTCCTGTCTTTCTGTGCCTTGCATAAAATAGACATGAATTGTCCCTCTGTTGGATGAATTCACTCATTCATTTATAGTAGCAGCAGTGTGGTCCAGGGTGGAGTGAAGGAAAGAACATGAGGGTCAGAAGGTCTGGGTCTTGCACTGTGACTTCCTAGCTATGTGAGGCTGGAAAACCAAGTAGCCTCTCAACCTCAGAATGCCAGGCCTGTGTGGCCTACCTCCCAGTTGTCTGTGGTAACTAAGTAAACTCACCCAGGTGAAGCTATGAGATACAAGGCAAGTCAAGCGTGTAAAGACTGAACATACACCATCATTACAACTACACCAAAAAAACAAATGTAGGAATAAAGGCTGGAAGATCATATGCAAAATGTTGAACAATTATTTCATTAGGGCCTTGGGATTACAGGTGTGATTTTTATTTTTCATTTCTCTATTTTTCAAATGTTCTGAATCATATTTTTATTACTTTAAATGGAAGTTTTTAAAAGGTAGTATCGTATTACTACAGACCAAGCCTTACTTATTTCCTTGGAAAGTCCTCCCTTTCTTTCCATTCCCAAGGCCAATGCCCTAGCCCAGGCTCTCCACACCCCACCCTGGTCTCCCCATGCCAGCCTGCAGTCCACAGCCAACATAAAATCCAAATTTTAACTTCTTTGTTTAAAAATAGGAAAATTTAGCAATGCACGTCCTCCATTCCCTCACAGCTACAATTTGGCAACAGTTGACAGGAACCAAGTAGCAGCTGACCCTTAGATGGGACCTGCAGTCCCACCACTCACAGCAGGGCCTTTGAAAAATAGAGAAAAGCATTTGTTCCTCTGAGCAGAGGCAGCCCCACCTTGAGTGCACAGTTTGGCCAGGCCAGCAAAGGTTGGATGGATTTCAGTCACCACTCTCCAAAGAGACTAGGCTGTCTCATGAGGGGCCCAGCCAGCATGACCAAAGGCACCAGCTGTGCCCCCACAACAAATGCAGTAGTTAGGTGCCTGGCCTCTGTAGACCCAGAGATCTAAAATGTCCAGAATAATGGCTACTTAGGCTCCAGCTCTGTTTCTCTATGGTACCCTCAGCTCTGCCCTCTGCCTTGTCTCCACATTGCCTTTCCTCGGTCACAAGATGGCTTCAGAACTAAAAGCACCAACTGACTCTTCATTCTCCCACAGATGAAAAGAATGCCTCCCCAGAGCCCTCAAACAAGAGCCCTGGGCTACACTCCAATTGAATCACCTCTGGGCCAATCCATTTTGGACAGGCTAGTGCCAGGCATTGAGTGGCTCAGATTTAGGTTAATCTGAACAATTCACTGCAGCAAGGTGGACAGTGACTTATATCGCTATTTCTTAACAAAGGTATTATTAAAACTTTGGCTGAGATCATTCTTAGCTGTGCACTAGTAGTGGGTTTCATTTAGCGTATCTAGCACCACCCATCATATGCCAGCTGTGCACGCCAGTTGTTGGAATGACCAAAAACTCCCACACATTGGTCATATCCAGACACTCCTACATCTGGAGGGCTGGCCATGCTGAATGGGCTGTAACACACTGGGGAGGGGTGGTTCCTTAAAAACAAAGTCTAGTTCTACTAGGAAGATGGGAGATGTGAATGAATTCTGGAAAAGCAAACCACAAATATTAACTACGCTTTTATTCTAGGTGGGAAAGAAGATTAAAAGGAAGAAAAACTATGGCTGTTAAATTTTTAACATGTGATTCCCCTTCAGATGTGCTCCTGGTTATTATGGAAACCCCTTGCTTGTCGGAAACACCTGTAAGAAATGTGACTGCAGTGGAAACTCTGATCCTAACCTGATTTTTGAAGATTGTGATGAGATCACTGGCCAGTGTAGGAATTGCTTACGTAATACCACTGGATTCAAGTGTGAACGCTGTGCCCCAGGCTACTATGGGGATGCCAGGATAGCCAAGAACTGTGCAGGTACAGTACTGTAAATCCTTAGACAGCCACCCGGATTTAGATGTATTTATCTTGGGAAAATGTCTCAAGTGACCCCTTGTCACTTTTCCAGGGCAATGCACATTCTCAGGAATGTGCATCCCATACTCACCCCTGGTGGATATTATCAAGGCTACTAATGTAACCTAGCTCATAAACCAAGAGACACTGACACAAATGAGCTCTTGCCTTGCCATCTTATATCCTTCCCATTTTGATCAAAGAAGAAAAGCAGACGTCCATGGACAGCCTATGATTGGCCAGAATTCTGAATGAAAACCTGCATGGTTCACATCACTTTTCTTATTCTGGAAGCTAAGTCCCATTTTTCAGTTATGTTTGGTAAAACTGACATTTCAGTGCAATAAGTGAGCAAATCAATGGTAGAGTTTACTCATCCCCCAATTTCCTCAGATTGTCAGAGCAACTATCTCAGGTAGAGTATAAGAATTGACTTCAGTTAGACTGAAATGTATACATTTCATTGATAATTTCTGTAATCCATTTGCTACATAGAATAAAGCTCTTCATAGGTAAAGTTAAATTGCCTTCCTCTAGGAATAAGGCTGAGACTGAATATTTCTTATTCGTTTGTGACTTTGAGGGGAAGCAGGGTGAGGAAGAGGTATTGTACTCTTGTGGCATGCTCCTATTGGAAATCCCCTCACTAAAACAAAGTCCCACTTAAAAAGATTCTAGGTGTAAAGGTTAATATTGAGAAGAAAACACACGTGATCTTCAGAAATCACAATAAAAGTAAACATGTCTACAAGAAAGCAAAGTGCACAAAGGCATAATACCGAAAAGGACACAGGGAAGAGTGTTCTGTGTCCAGACAGACTAAAGAAGAAAAGCAGGCATCAGAAAGAGTGCTGGCAGCTCTGGCTGGGTGGCTCTGTTGATTAGAGCATTGTCCCACACACCAAAAGATTTTGTGTTCAATTCCTTGTCAGGTCACATACCAATGTTGTGGGTTCATTCCCTGGTTGGGGCATGTACAGGAAGCAACCAATTGATGTTTCTCTCTCACATACATGTTTCTCTCTCTCTCTCTTCCTCTTTCTAATATATATATATATACTAGAGGCCCGGTTTTAAAAATCTGCTGGCAAAATCAAAGCCTTAGACATTGATGAATATTCTGATTCTCAAAACATTTACTAAACTTATGTTTAAACTACATAGAAGCAGATCACTCTTAGAAAAGAAGCTAATGCTAAAAGCAATAAAGCATGATCTTGCTGAATGGTTTAATAAATCTACATTTTGTGGAACATTAAACAGCTGAAATGTAATAAAAGCATTTCCCCTTACAGCTAAATTTTTTATGATTTTTCTCTAAAGACAGTTAAGAGATGGGGAAAATTCACAATTCTAATTCAGCTTATTGTTGATAGCTCAGGAATTCCTTTTTAAATATCACAAATTAATTTCTACTCTGAAACTCTGAAATGGGGGTTTTGTTTTTGTTTTTTTTCCAAATGACTATCTTGAAAATCCTCTTCTCTCTCACATACATGTTTCTCTCTCTCTCTCTTCCTCTTTCTAATATATATATATGTCCTGAGGCAATAATTTTAAAAATCTGCTGGCAAAATCAAAGCCTTAGACATTGATGAATATTCTGATTCTCAAAACATTTACTAAACTTATGTTTAAACTACATAGAAGCAGATCACTCTTAGAAAAGAAGCTAATGCTAAAAGCAATAAAGCATGATCTTGCTGAATGGTTTAATAAATCTACATTTTGTGGAACATTAAACAGCTGAAATGTAATAAAAGCATTTCCCCTTACAGCTAAATTTTTTATGATTTTTCTCTAAAGACAGTTAAGAGATGGGGAAAATTCACAATTCTAATTCAGCTTATTGTTGATAGCTCAGGAATTCCTTTTTAAATATCACAAATTAATTTCTACTCTGAAACTCTGAAATGGGGGTTTTGTTTTTGTTTTTTTTCCAAATGACTATCTTGAAAATCCTCAGTAGATGAATAGAGGGTTCTCAGGATTTCTAAATTTATGTAAATATGTTCCTAATTTTTTCCATGACATTATTCCTAGCCATCCCACTGAGAACTATCACTTGGAGGTTTGGAGTCAGCTTTGCCAAGGGTCAAGCCCTGTGGAAGCCAAGATTTGCTCTTGGGCCTCCTCACTCTCTCCTTGCTGGACTACTCCTCCTTCACACCTGGCAATGATCAACCCCGAAGTTGGATTAAACTGGAGAATCAGGCTGCAATGAAAGGCTGGCTTTCAGAGTCCAGTTGAATAATGGGCTCCATGATTATCTTGTATCTTGTGAAATTTACCAGGATTTTTCTGGACTGAAGCAGTTGTAATAGTCATGTCAGAATCCCCTCTCCTCGCCGCCCCCCCCCCCCGC